ATACGAGCGGTTCATTTTGTCCGCTTATCCCTATTATATCAGCTCTTTCTCTATGATGTTCGGCGTCTTTGTCTTCAGCTTTGTTTTCCTCTATTATAAGGAAACGCCGAAAGAAAAGCCCGAATAAGACATTCAATGCATTCATTCTTATAGTAATTAACTGTTTATTTAAATTACATTACATTTGATAACAAATAAAGTGATGACAAAACAATCGATATCTTAGAGTTTGAAAGTCTTTCCAAAAGGATATGAGACATGAGTTAGACTTTACTGAAGAACTCAACCAATTTGTCGCGAAATAGTTGCGAATCAATGACTTGCGACTCACTTCTGATGCCATTCTTCACGTAATACTCGACGTAAACAATGCGATACATATCACGAAGAAGTTGTTTGTAGTACTCGTTGTTTTTGGTGGAGTCGGGACTCACGAGGAGCACAAACTTGACAGAAGTGGCCATTTCGTAGAATATCAACTGATAGGCATTCGTCGAGTAGGTCAAGAAGTTGTTGTCTTTGCTCACCACCGGACCTATTCGTGCGGTGAATGACTTGAGAGAGTAGAGGAAGCCATACAATAGTCGCGTCGAGTCCTCGTTGTCCTCGCGATTCAATGAGAAGCGACACAAACCGTTGCCGTCGAAGATGTGGAAGTTGTAGATCATTGCAGACACGGATCAGTACATCGATCAGTACATCGATCAGTACATCGATCAGTACATCGATCAGTACACCAATCAATACACCAATGAATACATCAATGAATACACCACTGATTCAGCTATCAATCAGTCACTCACATCACCATGAATTGATTGACTGGTTGTTGGGCATTGACGCCATCTGTGAGACAGTGAGTGAAGTGTTAGTTCCCAACGAAACCGTTGTACGGATTGTCGTATAAAATGAGTGCTTCAGTGAAGGCATTCATTCATTTCCAGGATTCAGTCAATACAGCACTCAAAGGACACCTCGAGTGACCGACATCTGAGGTAATCATCACTTTATCCATACATTTATTTGTTGTCTTAAGCGTCAGAATTGTATTTATGGGACGAATAGTGAGTGAAATGAGTGTCAAGTGTAGGAAATAGTGGCAAAATAGCATAGACTTAGAGATCAATACATTGGACGCCATATTGTCGTGAAAGCATTGAATCGATTGTCGATAGTCTGTGAGTGTAAACAAAGTCACGTGTTTTGCACTCTTGTTATGTCCTCTGTTTGCAATCGTGTGTGAAGTGAGTGTCGATGGCATCGGGAGGCGTGACATTTGTGACGCCCCCGCGGGTCACCAACTCGTCGCCCACTTTCGTGATCGACAGCAGCTATGAGTTGCCGAAGATCTCGTCGGCCAATAGCACCGCAAACAACGCCAACCATCGCACCGGTGATGGACACCGTCTGAAGACGTGGAATGAGTTGTCTCATGAACTGCAGACCAATAAGAGGTGTTATAGTGTGTCATATAATAAGGCAAATGAGACACAAGTGGTCCGCAAGAGAAGTGATGGCAATCATCGCAAACGAAGACATTCTTTTGGCGCCAACTCTGCGGAGAAGTTGAAGAGACGTAAAGACCGGATAGTATTGCCCACGAAGTTCTTGTTGGGCGGCAATATCAGTGACCCCTTAAACCTCCTCAGTTTGGACAACAGCGCCAATCAAGTGACCCCTCAGTCGTCTCCATACCCGACACCCAAACACAAGACTGAAGTGGAGGTCTTGATTCCGGCCAACATTAATGATCCCTTGAATCTGAACAGTTCTGGTGATGTCGACGAGTCGTCTATTATTTCCCCCAAAATTAAGGCCAAATCGAGGAAAAGGAAGCGAAAGCGAACCGACTCTGAGACCACCGCAGAGGCCGCCAATGAGTCGACGGAATCTGTCGTTAATAAGGACTCCGTCACTGAATCCAAGAGTAAACCTGAAAACCCAACCAAACCTCTCAAACTTCGGATCAGCGATAGTATTAAGACTATTGATAAGATTGTGTCTCCAGTTATCCCTCAAGGGTTGGGTTCAAAACACAGACGTTTTGTGGACAACACATCGAAACCAGTTGTCAATGTGGAGGCATTTGTGGACAAACCCGAGACAAAAGTGAAACATAAGAAACACCACAAAAATAAGTCAAAAGAACCGCATTTCAGAGCAAAAGATGAGAGCTTTCGGTACGGAAATTATAACCGGTATTACGGCTATAGGAATGCCAATCAAAACGATTGTCGTCTCGATTNAAAATGTTCACAAAACTGTAGTGAATATATCAATACATACATTGATTTTCTTTTTCTTTTTATATGAACAGAAGGGTTGCGCCTCTAAAATGAGTTTACCGTTGGGTCGGAGTTGAGAAAAGATGCGTTTGAATAGCGTTTTCACTCCAGTGTCGCCCCAATTCAAGTGAACCCATTTGGTTAGACTTAAGCACAAAATCGTGTCAAACTGTTGCTTCTGAATACTCAATGTCTCATCACTTTCTGATACATAGTTTCCGGTAATAAAACACACATTTTTGGGAAAAAAACAAGTGTTGTCTTCATCTGAATCATGCGATGCGGTTGAGGCCAACGGCCCGTGAAGTAAAGGCAATGAAATGGGAAAGTCTTGTGTCTGAAGAACAGTGGATGTTATATAATGTCTGACATTTTTGTTGGCAATTTTTATGAGAGAGTTATCGATATCTATACCGACAATCTTTTTGGGATCAAAGTTCTTAGCGATAGCTAATGTGATGTGTCCGACATTACAGCCAATGTCGAGAACATCTTTGTTGCGAAACCACTCACTCTTAAGGCAATCGAGACGACAATCGTTTTGATTGGCATTCCTATAGCCGTAATACCGGTTATAATTTCCGTACCGAAAGCTCTCATCTTTTGCTCTGAAATGCGGTTCTTTTGACTTATTTTTGTGGTGTTTCTTATGTTTCACTTTTGTCTCGGGTTTGTCCACAAATGCCTCCACATTGACAACTGGTTTCGATGTGTTGTCCACAAAACGTCTGTGTTTTGAACCCAACCCTTGAGGGATAACCGGAGACACAATCTTATCAATAGTCTTAATACTATCGCTGATCCGAAGTTTGAGAGGTTTGGTTGGGTTTTCAGGTTTACTCTTGGATTCAGTGACGGAGTCCTTATTAACGACAGATTCGGTCGACTCATTGGCGGCCTCTGCGGTCGTCTCAGAGTCGGTTCGCTTTCGCTTCCTTTTCCTCGATTTGGCCTTAATTTTGGGCGAAATAATAGACGACTCGTCGACATCACCAGAACTGTTCAGATTCAAGGGATCATTAATGTTGGCCGGAATAAAGACCTCCACTTCAGTCTTGTGTTTGGGTGTCGGGTATGGAGACGACTGAGGGGTCACTTGATTGGCGCTGTTGTCCAAACTGAGGAGGTTTAAGGGGTCACTGATATTGCCGCCCAACAAGAACTATTTTGTGGTGTTTCTTATGTTTCACTTTTGTCTCGGGTTTGTCCACAAATGCCTCCACATTGACAACTGGTTTCGATGTGTTGTCCACAAAACGTCTGTGTTTTGAACCCAACCCTTGAGGGATAACTGGAGACACAATCTTATCAATAGTCTTAATACTATCGCTGATCCGAAGTTTGAGAGGTTTGGTTGGGTTTTCAGGTTTACTCTTGGATTCAGTGACGGAGTCCTTATTAACGACAGATTCCGTCGACTCATTGGCGGCCTCTGCGGTGGTCTCAGAGTCGGTTCGCTTTCGCTTCCTTTTCCTCGATTTGGCCTTAATTTTGGGGGAAATAATAGACGACTCGTCGACATCACCAGAACTGTTCAGATTCAAGGGATCATTAATGTTGGCCGGAATCAAGACCTCCACTTCAGTCTTGTGTTTGGGTGTCGGGTATGGAGACGACTGAGGGGTCACTTGATTGGCGCTGTTGTCCAAACTGAGGAGGTTTAAGGGGTCACTGATATTGCCGCCCAACAAGAACTTCGTGGGCAATACTATCCGGTCTTTACGTCTCTTCAACTTCTCCGCAGAGTTGGCGCCAAAAGAATGTCTTCGTTTGCGATGATTGCCATCACTTCTCTTGCGGACCACTTGTGTCTCATTTGCCTTATTATATGACACACTATAACACCTCTTATTGGTCTGCAGTTCATGAGACAACTCATTCCACGTCTTCAGACGGTGTCCATCACCGGTGCGATGGTTGGCGTTGTTTGCGGTGCTATTGGCCGACGAGATCTTCGGCAACTCATAGCTGCTGTCGATCACGAAAGTGGGCGACGAGTTGGTGACCCGCGGGGGCGTCACAAATGTCACGCCTCCCGATGCCATCGACACTCACTTCACACACGATTGCAAACAGAGGACATAACAAGAGTGCAAAACACGTGACTTTGTTTACACTCACAGACTATCGACAATCGATTCAATGCTTTCACGACAATATGGCGTCCAATGTATTGATCTCTAAGTCTATGCTATTTTGCCACTATTTCCTACACTTGACACTCATTTCACTCACTATTCGTCCCATAAATACAATTCTGACGCTTAAGACAACAAATAAA